CTTTTCTCTCTCTCTCCATCTGTCTATATATATCTTTCTCAATTTTATTTCTCTCTCTCTTTTTCTTTCTATAACTTTCTCAATTCTTTTTCTCTTTCTCTCTTTCGCTCTCTCTCTCTCTCTTTCTCTCCTTCTCTCCTCCTGCTCTCCTGCATGGCTCTTTGGCACTTCTGCTCAGAGACGGAACCCAATCCCCTTGCATTTTGGGAAAACGACTTTCCTCCCCAAATCTCTCTGGCTTCGGCTTGCAACGCCTGCGGATCCCCATCCGTGCTCCCGTAGCGTGGCGACGATGTCTAGCGGCCTTCCCGCTTAATGAGAAGCCTTCTCTTCCTTGCTCCAGGGAAAGGGATGGTCTCGCTCAATGGCCACTGCGGCCCCGTGGACTTCCTAGCAGTGGCTTTCAGCACGCTGGCCCCCGAGGTCTTGAAGAGCGACAAAGAGGATGAAGCGGCCAACGACGGAGGCGCATTGATGGACGAGGCGCACCCCAGTGCTCGTTCCTCCGACGTGCCTGCTCCAGACAGTTCCTCCTCCACCAGGGAAATCCGTAAAAAGGGCATCCTTCTGCAGTACCGGCTCCGATCCACCACTCACCTCCCCGGGCAGTTGCTCTCCGTGAGGGACACGCCTTCACCGGCCGGCGGGAATTCCTTCGAACACACCGAGGAAGACGGCTCCATCTATGAAATGGCGGACGATCCGGACATTTGGGTGCGCAGCCGGCCGTGCGCCAAGGAGTCTCATCGGAAGGAGATCTCCTCCCTGGCTGTGATTTCGGGAGGAAGGGGTTACCGCAACTTCAACGCCAACGGCCGGCCTCCGTCGAGCAGCGAAAGCGACAGTACATTACTCCTCTGGCAGGTCCCGTTGATTTTATAGCGCCGTCGGGTTGCGCTTGTCCCTGCCTTTCGTTTTTGGCATTGCACGGTGGATGACAACACCGTAGGGGACGGTACATGTGTGGTGATTGGGGGGGGGGGCTATCTGGTTGGACAGTCCTGCTAATCCCACCAGGTTTTTACCGATTTCGTCACCTTCAAACTCCCTCCGTGCCCAGCGGTGTTTGCCACCTGTTTTTCACACTTCCGATCTTGGCCCGATTTTCTTTCCGGGACTTTTTCAGGTTTTATAGGAAAAAAATTGCACACTCTCTGCAGGTTTTGGGGGAGCCAGTTAAATCCCCCCCCCGCTTTCTCTGGGGAGGTTTTTTCTTCCCCAGAGAAAAGAGACGTACGGGTTTGGTGTTACCCCTGTGTGAATATCCTACCTACAAATATATATATAGACACACACACACACACACACACACTCTTAATATAAAAGTGCTGTATATTATTAAATTGTATAAATAAAAATCTGTATATATCGGGGGCAGAAATAAAGGTGGGAGGAAACTCCTCCTAGTCCAACTCAATCACGAGGTCTGATCTTGGATTTCCCACTGGGCTTTTGGCTCGAAGTTGACCGCCTTATTCGATGCCAGGAAAATCCTCGAGCCAATTTTTTTAAAAACAACAACAACGGAGACGTAGAGATCACCTCCGCTGGGTTAGCTGGCCTTTCCGAGACCCGAGGACGTCTCTGCTTTTATTTCCTTATTGTCACATTTCTTCTGCGACGTTTCCCAAGGCTTTCCAGTAAATTGGAGGGAGGGGCTTTTAGGGGCAATACAATCGAAGCAGAGAAGCGGAACCATAAAGAGCAACCAAGAGGATTAGGGGACTGGAGACTAAAACATATCAAGAACGGTTGCAGGAACTGGGTTTTGTCGAGTTTGATGAAAAGGAGGACTAGCGGAGACACGATAGCAGGGTTTCTATATCTCAGGGGCTGCCCCAAAGAAGAGGGAGTCAAGCTATTCTCCAGAGCACCTGAGAAGGCAGGACAAGAAGCAATAAATGGGTGGAAACTAACCAGGGAGAGAAGCAACTTAGAACCAAGGAGGAATTTCCTGAGAGTTAGAACAATTAACCAGTGGAACAACTTGCATCTAGAAGCTGTGAATGCTCCAACACTGGAAGTTTTTAAAAAGAGGTTGGATAACCCTTTGTCTGAAGTGGTGTAGGGTTTCCGGCCTGAGCAAGGGGGTTGGACTAGAAGACCTCCAAGGTCCCTTCCTTGTAGAGAAAAGTAAAGTCCTACACTTAGGCAAGAAAAACCAAAAGGACACCTATAGACTGGATGAAACCAGGCTCAATAGAGCAGGAACTGGGAGGGGGATCTTGGAGTCTTAGTGGACAACCAGCTAAATAGGAGCCAGCCATGTGCAGCAGCCGCCCAAAAAGCCAATGCAATCCTAAATTGCATTAACAGAGGGATACAAGATCCAGTGAGGTACTAATACCACTCTAGAAAGCCTTAGTAAGGGCACACTTAGAGTACTGCATCCAGTTTTGGTCACCACACTATAAAAAAGACGTTGAGGCTCTAGAAAAAGTGCAGAGAAGAGCAACCAGGATGAGGAGGGGACCGGAGGCTCATAGGATGAACGGTTGCAGGAACCGGGCCTGGCTAGTCTAGGGAAGAGAAGGACCAGGGGAGACAGGAGAGCAGCCTTCCAATATTTGAGGGGCTGCCCCAGAGAGGAGGAAGGGGTCAAGCTATTTTCCAAGGCACCTGAAGGCCAGAAAGGAATAATGAATGGAAACTGACCAGGAGAGATTCAACCTGGAAATAAGGTGAAATTTTCTGACAGTGAGAACAATCAACCGACGGAACAGAAGTTGCCTTGGGAATTTGTGGGAGCTTCATTCCTTGAGA